AATTTTTTCACAAGTAATTTTTAAATTGGTTATCTTTTTCTGTAACAATTCATTTTCTTTCTCAAGATGATGCAACTCATTTTCAAGTTCTTCTGCTCGTTCTCCTTTTTCTTTATAATGTTCCAATTCTTTTCTAATTTGTCTTTTTTCAAACTCAATCTTGCTTAGCTTGCTACTTGTTTCTTTGATCGACTCATGGAGAATTTTATTTTCTTTTTCAATATCTTTCACCCTTGCTTCAGCACTTATCTGGGAGCGCTGCCTTAAGGAAGACACAGTTTGATTCAGATGTTCATTTTCCTGTTCCAATATTTTAATCTAATTAACAAAGAAAAAAGAGAGAATTAAAAACTTAATTGAGCATAAACTAAATATTTTAAGTTACAGTTTTTCCTTTCTAAAAAATAACAAGGAAATCAGAACATAAGAGGGTGCTAATTTCTATCTTACTCTTAATTCTGACAAATATTTACTGAGAGACCCCTATGTACATGTACTGCCAGGTCATTAAAGTTCTTTCTTTAGGGAGTTCATAATGTAAAGAAATGGTTAGGAGAGATGTATCTAATATTAATCAAAGTGATCTTCAGATTATTCACAGTTACAGGTTTCAAATTCAAATAAGAACACAGGTGAAATGTACACACATATCTCTTTATGAATATAGCTTTTATTTTCTTTAAATAAATTTTGTAATGCATATACACAGTGGGCTCTTAATAAATACTGCTATAGTTATATGTGTATATGTGGGTGTGTACTCATTCCCCTAAGAATTCTAATTTGGAAACATCAAAATAACAAAATCCTCTGGTACACTTGAAAACTAATCCAACCAATTTATATCATGACCTAATTCTGTGGTTCTCAAAAGTCAGTGTTAAATAATCCCCTGAGAACCTTGTAAAAATACAGATTCATGCTTAGCTCTAGAATTTTTATTCTGTAGCTCTACAGAAACCTCTATTTTTACAGGTAGCCTGAGGACTATATCTGAATATATTAAAAAAAATCATTTTACTTCTAAAAAAGTAACAGAACTTTAAAATAGCAAGTCAATCAATATCTCCAGTTCTCAGTTTCCTAGAACATAAAATGACAAAGACCAATAAACACTGGAAAGCACATGAGAATGCATCCTAGAGGCAGCAACCGCATCTTCCTCTTAAGCAGGGTTGGAGTAGAGCTGCTTTCCCCCAACTCCACTCAGGAACTTTATAATCTTCAGTCCTATTCCACAGACACTTGAAAGCACAGGTAACTGCAAAATTTTATACCAGATAATTATCAAGCATACTTGCCATTTAAAAAATTCTAAGCTTTCCCTTCAACTTTCCTAAAATACACAGGACAGAAAATGAAGTAAAACCATAGTTACTCTAAAATTTAAGCAATTCTAAAATATTTCCCTTTCATGTTATATGAACATTTTTGTTTGCCTAAACTTTAAAATAACTTTTGTTAATGCATTTCAAAGTATATTGCTTAATAGGAAATTTATGAACCTGTCTCTCTGAATTTTCTCTAAGTGTTTCAATTGTTTTTTCAAGCTGAGCTTTCTCCTTCATTAGATCCTTGCTTAAATTCTGACAGTTCTGAAGACTTTGCTTTTCTTGAATAATTTCATTTTCAAGAATTTCAACCTAGAGAAATTAAATAAAAAAACAATGTATCATTCAATATTTTACAACAGTGGAAACATGTCAAAACAAAAGATAATTTTCAAATAAAAAATTAAATACAATTTTAACACTCAAATGGTGAAATTTAAGAACTGAGTAGAAAAATTCAAGTAATAGTCCATGCTACTTTTAGCAGCTGTATAAAAAATGCAGACATGACTGTCTTTCTTAACCTGTGCATCTTTGAAAGGTACATTTGTACTTCTAAACACAAAGATAAATCCAAATGAATATATGATAATTATGTGCTTTATGAAGACTGTACCAATCTTATTGAAAGACTCTCCTGGCTTGAGGAGATTTATAAAGTAAAACTTTAATTACAGTCAAGTAATTTCAGTGAAGAAGGAAGAAGAGAATATAAAAGCATGAATGAAAGATGAGAAAGAGTGATTTAAGTTTAATGAGGAAACAGGGATTAAGTTTAAAATAAAAAGGAGAGAGGGAGAAAAAAGGAGAATAATACTAGAGAAAAAAGGGCTGAACAAAACTCCAGCAAATGTTTATACTCTAGGTTTAAATTTGTTGTCAATTACACATTTTAAAGACATGATCAAGTATGTGATTAATAAGGATAAAATAGCAAATTCCAGTTTAAATTATGCCAAATTGATATTCCCATTAGCATACAACATATTCAAACCAGGCAATAAAAGAAAATAAAGATTTAGCTATATAAAATATTCCACTTCGAGTTTAAATATTAATTAAATCCTTATGTCAATAGTGAAGAAGTCTAAGAATCTGAATAGTCTTACATAAAGCAAGTTGAATTTTCCTATTTTATTATCAATGGAAGATAACCATATAGGGAAGACCATCTTCCAGTAATATCTCAAAAGCATCAAGTCACAAAATCTTATGCAGTCACTCAATTCAACATATATATATTCAGGAAGGTTTTAGTTATTAATTATGAATCCAGTTCTCCCATTAAAGATTGAAATATATGGGTAACAGTTATTTAATTAAACTCTGTTGTTTTATAGCAATGGAATTCAAGTGAAACATTCAGTTTACAAAAGACATCTTTCATACAATGAATTTATAAATAATTGCTAGAATCACTAAAAATTTATTAGAATTCAAAGCTAACTTTAAAATCAAATTATAATTTCCAGACCCAATTATAATGATAACGAAAATAAAACTGTTCCAAGTTCTAAATAACCACTCCTACTTTTATACTATATTGGTTATCAAATGCTTATTAAGATTATTTGGTTAATGGACTAAAGATGATGCAAAAATGTTTTAAAAGAGTAAAAATCTGGCAAGATAATCAAGGAGTCTATTTGCATTATCTAAGGCAGTGGTTCTCAAGGCGTGGTTCCAAGAAACCAGGAAGACCATCCCTTAGGAATTTCTTAGAAATGAGAATTCTTCACCCCCTACCCTAGGCAAGACTACCAAATCAGAAACGCTGGGCATGGGACTCAGCAATCTGTGTTTTAACAAGTCCTGAAGGTGACCATGATGCATACTATAGTTCCAAAACCAATGGTCTAAAAGTTAGGGAGATTTTCATAAATGAGTCTAGATACCCAGAATCTAAAGAAAAAACTAGACATGGCTGACTAGATATAGAAATGAAAAGGAATACATAAGGACATATGTATAAGAATATTTATTACAGTATTGTTCACTGTGACCAAGACCTAGAAACAAAAGTGAAAGCACATATTGGGGAGCAGATGTGATAAATTCTCTAGATGATAAAAATATCATGTATGTTGTCATGATACAATTCTATTTATCTACAATATGTGTATGTGTGTATGCAGAAAGATACTCAAAAATAAATTACTTGGTCTGTTGCACAACTGGAATATTTCTGTTGAACCAAAACTTAGTCAAAATTCAGGTTTCAGAGTGCCTAAATTGTGGTCCTTAAATACCATTTCCCACTAAAAGGAACAAGGGCTTTCTGGAGAAATGGCTATCTCCAGATTTGGGGCAGGAAATGTTTAAGAGAAGCCTATTATGGCAAAAGCACAGAGGTTCACAACGGGTGCTAAGGTGTGTCACAGGAATTCAGAAAGAGGTAGATATAAGAAAAACAAATGCAGTAGATTGAAACACTTCAAATATTTTTAAATCCATGAATTCATAAAGACACTAAAACAAAAAACTCATTAATTATCTCAGGAGGATATGAGAACCAATTCTTTACCAGGAAACTGGTAGATAAAGGGAAAGAATCAAACATTCATCCTGCTTTCCCCATGAGAGTTCCTTATCAGGATTTTGCAACCTCTGTTGAATTAAGGGATCAAAGCAAACCTTTTCCATGACAACTAACATGACAAAAAGACAGACAACTAGACATGTACCTCCTGACTGAAAAAGACTCCTTACGAATATTTTTACTAAAACCTCGATTTGAACCTGATTAAGTCTACAGATAAAATAAGACCTATTGGGAACAAAAGAACTTGCGAAGTGACTCAAAAAGGATGCAGTGAGCAAAATCTAGACTGTAGGAAAACTAGATTAAACCACCTGGTTTCTTTAACAGAAAAACTACTAGGTATGAAGAGTAAACCTTACATTAAAAAAGACAACAGACATCAGTTGATTGAATGTATTGGTCTTATTTTAATTCAGATTTGAACAAAATGCAAAAAAAAAATCCCAATTGATTTGGAGAAACTGAAATGCTAACCAAATTCTATTAAATTTTTAAGTGTGATAATGTCACTGTTCTTGGTTTTTTTTTTTAATTCCTTACTTTTAAGAGATATATAATAAGATATTTATTGGTGAAACAATACCACGTCGAGGATTTACTTCAAAATCATCTAGTGGTTATGCGGAGAGCAAACAAGGGTAGAAATAAGATTGCTAGAAGTTAATAATTTTTGAAGCTGAATGAGTATATTAGTTCATTCACTTCACTTTTTTTTTTTTTTAAAGATTTTATTTATTTATTTGACAGAGAGATACAGTGAGAGAGGGAACACAAGCAGGCGGAGTGGGAGAGGGAGGAGCAGGCTTCCCATGGAGCAGGGAGCCCGACGCGGGGCTCAATCCCAGGACCCTGGGATCATGACCTGAGCCGAAGGCAGACGCGTAATGACTGAGCCACCCAGGCGCCCCCATTCACTTCATATTTTGAAAATTTCCATAAGTTGAAATAATGAGAGTACATTAAAAACTGGAAAATAAACGTTCAACCACAGGGCTATTCATACTTTTACATATATTCTTTAACTTACATTAAACATTACTTTTATTTACCTTTTTACTTAGTCTTTGATTTTCTTTTTCAATTTTCAGGATTTTGGAAGTGTTGCCTTCTGCAGAATCCATACTACTCCGAAGTTCTTCTACAGTTTTTGTCAGACTCTGGTTTTCCATCTCCAATTTCAATAACCTGCTTGATGTTAACTCATTCACCTCATGGCCCAAGGATTTTTGTGGTGCTATAATAATGAAAAATACTGTCACTGGTAAAACTATATTTACTCACTATTATTTAAAATAATGAGTGTAAATGTACTACATCACTTGGTCCTTAACTTGATAAAAAATTTATAGTTATATAAGATAGACAAATGAAAAAAAAAACAGATAAAAGATGGGTAAATCTTGAATTTTTAATGCACCCATGAGCGTTCTAGAGAAAAAAAAATACAAAATTTAGATTGAATGGACTACAGAGTTTCAGTTCTAGTTTCATGAGAAACTACTTGACAATGCCCAAGCCACTTTAACCTCAGTGAATCTTATGTTACTTGTACAAAATATAGTTACTGCTCTGTGTGTCTCACAGAGCTATCGTGTGATTCACATAAGAATTATAAAGCATGTCCTATGCCATATCTTCAAAAATTAAAGGAAGACAGTCTAAGGGAAAAAAAAAATTCCAATTTCCTAATCCTGATTCTGAGAAATGCAAGACAATATACACTGGTCACCTCGAAAAAGTCTTTCTCTAAATGAAGAATTGCTGCTAAACTTGAGTATAACAAGCAACATGTATACCATTTTGCCAAAAAATTATATTTCTAAGTAGATTTTAGCATAATTACATTTTTTAAAATAAGAAAACTCGGTTTCTAGTTCTGTATATGATGCAAACCAAAAATATTATTTTTAATAACCCTACAGCAGATTCATTAAATATTTTGATGATATAAAAATTAGGATTTAAAGTGAAATATGATACCTAGATTCATTTTGAAATCTTAGACTTCAGGAAGGGAAATGGAGACGTATGGGAAGGCATTCTAGGTCTATCTATCTTTGTGTATGTTTGAAATTCTCCATCATTAAGTAGAGAGAAACACACACACACACACACACACACAAAAACATATCCCCAACAAGTATATAAACATACATTCTTTTTAAAATTAGGTATGGTAAAATATCTCCCAGACTGAAGTAAAGAAAGCCTCAAATCTTATTTCTAGTTTTTGTTCTAGTTAGCATATTATTCTTTAATTGAAAGCTGGTACAACTGATAGTCACTGACTTTTTAAATTCCATTAGTTGTCCAAGTCTTGAAGTAAAACTACTTCATGATCTGTAGTCATGCATTTCAATTAAATAAGATTAGACTACAATACTCAATATACCTTAGTAATACTTTCAATACTATGACTGTGTTTCAAAGTTGCTTCAGGTCAGACTATAAAGAATTAAACAGGATGCTTACAACACATTTTTAAAAAGTAATCTCTATGTACAACATGGGGTTTGAACTGAAGACTCCAAGATCAAGAGCTGCATGTTCTGCTGACTGATCCAGCCAAGTGCCCCCTTACAAAACATTTTTAACACAATATTGTTTTGTTAAATAGGGAGGCTGCCTACATGATAATCTTAGGTGAAAAAAAGAACCTGCACTGTATATAGACATTGATCTGATGATGTCTAAAATATCTATTTGTGTGTAGAAACATTTTGGAAGCAAATTTTTTGAAATGTCAAAAGTGACTGCAGAAATTATTAGTGACCTTCATTTCTTCCTTTATATTTTTCCACATCTTGCAAATTTTCTAGAAAGCAATTCCCTTGTATAGTTAAAAAAAAAAAACAATAACACACCACATTAAAACAAGTATTCAGGTCTATGATCCTAATATGAATTGCAAAACAACTGTGATGATGATGATGATGACAAAAATAATAATAATAAGCACTCAAATACCTACCATTTACCAGGTATTCTACTAACAGCTTCATAAGTAGTAATGAATTCAGTCCTTGCAATATCCCTAACAAGGCACATACTATTATTGTTTCCACATTAACGGATGAAGAAACTCTTAACGGTGTAATTTTAACTAGTAGTAGAAAACATTTAAGTCTGAATTGTTTTCTTTATACTCAATTCACAAAAAATACAGTAAAAAAGTTCCACAAGTACTTAAAGTAACACATCTCAGCAAGTTCACTGGCTGAATATCATCATTACTGTGCAGTGAATTTACATGGGGTCTCAGAATTTGGAATTAGGTTATCATGTGTAAAATCAGGAAAAGCCTAATGGTAATAAATATGATGAACCATCTGTAGAAGTAATTATCCTGTAAGCATCAGACTATAAGCTCTCTCAGACCTATGTCTACCTCACCACTATATCCTCAGGGCCTGGTATATTATTTTACACATGGTAGATGCTTAATAAATATCTGGAAGGAAGGAAAGCAGGTGAAATAATCTAACACTGGGTAACTGAAGAATTATGGAACTAATCTAATTCAAATAAATGTGACATGGGCATAATTTCAATAAAGTAAATCAGTATTAGCATAATCAAACCTATAACCCAAGTAATTATCTGGGGGTCTTTAATTATCTCTAGGGTAAAATTAGGCTGGACTGGTTGGTAGGTATAGTGCTAAAATGGAGTACATGTATTGATGAAAGTAGCTATGAAGATCCTTAACTTGCTTTACACTGGCTACATAGTCACCTAAGAATCTTCCCACTATGTTACGACTTCCTATTTAAGTCTGTCTATAGTTAAAGAACAGGTTAACCAGGTAATATGACTTTTCTGTTCTATTGAGTAGATGGCTTTCTTTCTTAAAATAAATTAATAAACTGGTATCCCAGCTTCCTGTGATACTAATATGAAACAGTGCCTAAATGACTATCAAATCTGTTACTGCGCTCATAAAGTTGAGTTGTAAGATGTGCAAAGATAAGGACCAGACCCAGGAACATGGAAATGAACATATTACTCTGTGAAATCATACCTAGAGAGACATCTGTCCTCCTAGATATCTCCAGCAAGGGAAAATAAAGAATTGTAAAAAAACATAAAAAAATGTAAGCATAAATACAACTTCATGTATTCATTTATCCTTTTCAATAAAAAAATACTGGGAATACCTTCAGAAAGTTCGCTAGTTCTGGATATTTGTTCCAACTCCCAGCCAAGATGTAATGATTCATCCATACTTTGTTTCTGTGCCATTTCCAAGGTCATATTTTCTTCCATTAATTCTTCGATTTTTTTTCTATCCATATCACGTTCCTTTTTTATTGTGAGGGAGTAGGAAGAGAAATGAAAGCTAACAAACCATGCAATTTCAAGCTAAATACTCTATTACTTATAATTTTTATTTATCAGAAACTGAATAATATGAGGATAAATTTTGAGTTCCTTAAAATTTTCACAGTTTGAAGGTGATAATCAGTTATAATTATTCATACTGGTCACTATATTATAGATCAGGTGTCTGATATCCTTTTTTTTTTTTAATTTTAAGTAATCTCTACACCCAACATGGGACTCAACTCACAACCCCAAGATCAAGAGTCACTGACTGAGCCTGCCAGGCACCCCTGTCTGATATCCTTTTAAAGTGATCCTTGGGGGGGCGCCTGGGTGGCTCAGTTGGTTGAGCGACTGCCTTCAGCTCAGGTCATGATCCTGGAGTCCCGGGATCAAGTCCCACATTGGGCTCCCTGCTCAGCAGGGAGTCTGCTTCTCCCTCTGACCCTCCCCCCTCTCATGTGCTCTCTCTCTCTCTCATTCTCTCTCTCAAATAAATAAATAAAATCTTAAAAAAAAATTAAAAAAAAAATAAAGTGATCCTTGGGGACACTGAAAACTCCTTCATATATTTCAATATATATAGTAAATGATTTCTGACCCAATGCTAAATTTTAGCAAACAGTTTTTTTATTTTAAAAGAGATTTTATTTATTTATAGGAGAGAGAGAGAGCAGGAGCGGGAGGAGGGGTAAAGGAGAGGGAAGAGGGAGCCTGATGTGTGGCTTAATCCCAGGACCTGGGGAGCATGACCTTAACCAACTGAGCCACCCAGGCATTCCTAGCAAATAGTTTTATTTCTATATTTTATTTTACTTAAAAAATTTTTAAGATTTTATTTATTTATTTGTCAGAGAGAGAGAGAATGAGCACAAGCAGGGGGAGCGGCAGGCAGAGGGAGAAGCAGGCTCCCTGCCAAGCAAGGAGCCCCATCCCAGGACCCTGGGATCATGACCTGAGCAGAAGGCAGATGCTTAACCGACTGAGCCACCCAGGCATCTCTATTTCTGTATTTTAAAGGCATATTTGCACAATAACTTATCAGGGTTTTTTCAAAGCAGAAGACAAAATTAATCATTAATACCACTCTGTAACAAAAGCAGAAATTTATATACTGTTTTTATAAAGAATTGGAAGCATCTAATTTATTTAGCCACCTCTTCTCCATTAAAGCCACAGGAGCTAGTCGTTATTGTCATTATGGGGAAATTAGATGAATCTGAGAGATTTCCTATGAAGCCATGCAACTGTTCAACCTTACATTACTTACCATTTCCATATCATGCAGTTTAGCCTTTAGTTGTAAATTCTCTTTTTCTAATTCATGTAATTTATCAGAACGAGCTCTAGTTCCTTCTAATTGATCTTCCAACATGGTTTTTGTTTCTAATAAAACTTGATTGTCTTCTTTTAATTCCTATGAAAATTTCAAATAGGCTTTATCACAAATATGTTAATATCTGTTAATTTTTCGAAGCTCTGAAACAAAAAATCTTTATTGTAAATAAGACATTAAGCTGTCTTTATCAAACGTTCTTTATGCAAGAGTAAAAGCAACTGAGTAACAGAGATACAGTTGATGTTTTCCTGGTTTCTTTTTTTTCCCCCTCAGAATTTAAGCTATTATGCAAACATAATACTCAGTACTTATGCTAGGATGAGTAACACTACTACAGTTTCACATAAAATTGTCAGGGTATATTTAAATTTCTTAGTCACAAGGAGAAGGAACTAAGTATAACTAGTCTTTTTGATATTTAAGACACAGAATCAGGGCTAATTCTTTTTTTTTTTTTTTTTTTTTGCTGCAATAGATCTCTCTACTTAAACTATAACTTGAAAGTGAAGCGTTGGGTTTTTGAGTAAAATACCAATACTTGAGCTAAGACTCACATAGATCATAAACTAAGGCTCCTATCAATAAATATTTTATATCAGCATCTTGAGAAAATGCTTAAAATCCATACATATGTTTTGAAGACATGTGCTCACAAATCTGTCTTGCTAAACTACATGTCTGTGGTTTATAAAGTCAAAAGAAAGTATATTAAAACAGTGGCATTTATAAGGATCTCTTAACAGTGCCATGCATATACCGTTTAAACAAATGGCCAAGAATTAATAAGCACCTTGTCTTTGCTATCTACTGGGTCTATTTTCGGGTAACTTTCAGGCTAAAATGTTCTAATTATCTCTTATAGTGTTTTCACTTCTTGATTTTGCATACTCCTTCCTTCTTATCACCATACTGAAACTGATAATACTCTCCTCTGTTTGCAGAAATGAAGAAATTAACTGAGAAAGAAAAACAGAATGTAGAAGCAAGGATCGTCAAATTCTTGCTGTCAAACAAATTCATGTAACACTGACTGCAACCATTAAGTAAGAAAAGCTGTCTTTCCTACACACACACACAAGGGGAGAGGGAGAGAGAGTGCCTTCTTAATCCTAGTTTAGTATTCTGAGTTGAGACCAATGATCAGAAACATGCTTTGCTTTCACTTCTAGAAACAAGTTTGAAATTAGTATATATTTTGACAACGTGGGAAGGACTTCAAGTCTTCCTCACCTAAATAAAAGAATGAAAGAACTCCAAACAGTTCAATAAAATTAATAATGTCCAGAGATCCCTTTTTACAAGTATAAGCAATATGCTGGTCTACCATAAAATAAGCACTTAAAGTATTTATAATTTGTTCAACATTTCAAAAGTTCCTTAAATTTATTATGTGCATTTTACGTGCATTTTGAAAAACCTAACTTTTTAAACAAAATAATTATGAATAGCTTAAATTATGCAACATACCTCAACTCTTGCCTTATAAAATTCAATATCATGTAGTCTTTCTTTATATCTGCTGACTTCACTTTCAAGCTTATCCACTCTGATAGCTTTTTCTCGAAGTGCATCTAATTCATCTCGGTACATTCTAGCAGAACGAGCATCCGAAAGCAAATTCATGTTCTAAATATAAACACATATTAATATTTCCAATATTATTTTCTATTTTCAAACTGATAATCTCTGGTTGCACAACTCAATGAATTTTCTAAAAAAACCCCAATGAATTGTATCCTTTAAAAGTGTGAATTTCACAGTATGTAAACTATACCTCAATTAAGCTGTTTTTTTTAAAGATGGAGAGATATAAGGAAGCTACTGATGATGGCCGGTACTGACGACTGCTACACCTTGACCAGGGGCTGCACTGCCACCCTGGGCAACTTCTGAGGCCATTTCCAAGACCTACAGCTATCTCACCCCTGACCTCTGGAAAGAGGCTGTGTTCACCAAGTCTCCCTATCAGGAATTCACTGACCATTCTGTAAAGACCCACACCAGAGTCTCCGGGCAGAGGACCCAGGCTCCAGCTGTGTGGCTACCACATCTGAAAAACATTAAGTGGATTAAAGCCTGTTAAAAAAATAAAAAATAAAAAATGGGGAGATATATGAAGTCTTTTTTTAAAAAATCAAGAATACAAATTATTTTAAAATGTTTATATGCAAATACAAACATGCTTACATACAAATTTTTAAATAATGATCACTATTTAGGAATGTAAAAACTACTCAGGATATTTTTAAATAAGTTAGCCTCTAGTTAACATAACCATCTGAAATTAATTAAAGGTGCAAAACTTTAAAATACAGTATAGTGAAAACAAAGAAGAAGCAAACTGTATTACTAAAGTTGATCATTAGTTACTTTAGAGAAATTATGTTTTTATCCAGATATGTTGTAACATACCAAAATCCTGCTGAGTTTTTCTAAACTTCCAAGTGAGTATTAGTTGCAAGTGATTAGTGCTTATCTTAATAACATTTTAGACAAATATCAAAAATCCAATCTTTAAAAGCTCTCTTGTAATCCTTTAGAACAAGTTATCAAAGTATGACCCAGGGACATCTGTGGGTCCCTGAAACCCTTTCAGGGAGTTCATGAGGTCAAAACCATTTTCATAATAACACTAAAACATTATTTGTTTTTTTCATTCTCATATCTCATGAGGGTGCAGTGGAGTTTTCCAGAGGCTACATGGCATGTGATATCTTAACAGACTGAATGCAGAAACAGATATGAGAATTCAGTAGTCTTTAATTAAGCCAGGCATTAAAGACATTTGCAAAAATGATTTTAAAAAAAAGAGACTGGCAAAAATGTAGAAGAGTAGCATTCTTCTAATTTTTTTTGGAAAATAATGGTAATAAGCATACAATTTTTATGTTAACATGGAATAGGTTGAGTATTATTTTTAAATAAATATTTTTTAAATTCTAAGTTTTAATTTCAAATACAGAAAATACCAGTAGATCTAATCCTCATTAATTTTTAAATAGCAGAAAAGAGCCTTGACACCAAAGAGATTGAGAACCACTGTTTTACAGGGAGCACACATACAAAAAACCATGCTCCCAAGAAGAAGCAGAATAGCAGTCAGAGCATATCTAGAAATGAAGATTATGATTCCCAGTATCATTCATCTGAAAAGGTCCCAGTTTAGGATTCTGCAAGTGGCGTATTCCCTGAATTTAAAATAGCAAGTTAGGGAAAGTAAGGAGAAGAAATAATTGTCTAGCCTTACCACAATCCTTACCATTTATGGGTAAAAGAAGACTTCATGCCTACCTCCAAATAAAAATGAAACATTATAAACATTAAAAGAAGTGAATTCTTAAACAATCTTGGCTCAAGATGAAAAAAAGCCCACAAAGCTTTAGTAAAATAAAAGTAACTTTTAAAAGGTAAAAAGTTTTGATCTTAATACTTAAAAGGAAAAGAGTAAAAAATTAAAAAGCATTCTGTCATCTGTAAGTTAACATAAAACATTATCAGAGACTAAAGACTTAGGGAGATACACATAAAGCAGCACAGTTTACAGTAGAGGTATTCCAGCTTCCCAGCTCACAGAAGCCAAATACATAAAAAGAGAAACTTGGAACTACCCCAGTCCTAAAAGGCTCCTTTGAATTCTAGGAAAGTTTGAATATCACTGATATAGAAAAAGTAAAGTCCAAAGACGATTTCCAGGGCTCTCGCATTTTTTAACAGAAAAACACTGAAAAAGTCATCTTTAAGCCTCAGTAACCTCATAAAACATTAAGGTAAAGGTTATAAATTTTAAGCAGAAAAATCAATTTCCAATTACTTACTGGTCCCATATAATAAAAGTTTCAGGTACAAACCTCTTGTTGCAGCCTTTTTAGTTCTATTTCCATTTGCTCAAGTTCTTGTTTACAGTCCAACAACTGTTCAGTCTTTTCCTCCCTTAGATGAAAATTTATTAAATAATCAGTTTACTGTTTTTCAAAACCATGATCATCATCTGCATTAATACAAATGTATTATCATTACTGAATATCTAGTTGAAAATCCTATTAGCCATACGCTAACCCAGGGGAAAAAGACAAAGAAATGGATATTAGGAATGTATATGATTACATGTCATCAATCAGATTCCTCCTTAAAATTCCCCAAAGGCTAATAACCTCAATGACTGACATCCTCTAAGTTCATAAAGTAGTTTCTCTCTCTTCACTTTTCTTGCCATCACCCCTTCTCATTCTCCTTTTTGTCTTTCTCCCTCTCAAAGACAAATACACTGGAAGCGTTTTTAAGCAAGGCACTACTATCTGGGTCTAAGTCTTAAAGGATCTCCAACTATTTTCAACATTTACAGTGGCCTAAAGGAAAGTATACACTGCTATATAGACACACAAAATCTTTATACCCCTATTGGTTTCTTCCCTGTAGTCTATAAACATCTTCAAATTTCTCCTACTGTTTTTCTTCTTCTTACAACTCACTACTTTACTTCTCCCATTTACTAACTCCCTTTCAGAGCCAAGCTGCTCAAACTCAAGTTTCCATTCACTAATTCTACTTTTCCACCTTCTGTTCTTTAATAAAAAACGGTAAATGTTCATTGTATAAAACAATCCATTGCTGACATTTCATCATACCTGTACTTTCTTTTTGAGGACCATAATTTTTAATGAAGAAATAGTCCCTTTCTGAGCTCCATTTTTCACTGTAATGAATGTTTTGGTAAATAAACCTCAGTATACATAAAACACGGTATGTTTAGGGGCACTTGGCTGGCTGAGTTGAAAGAGCATGTGATGCTTGAACTCAGGGTCATCATGAGTTCAAGTCCCATTCTGGGTGTAATTTACTTAAAAAAAAACAAACAAAAACAAAACCCATCCCACCCTCCCCCCAAAAAACCTGTTTTAGCCAGATTTATAAAAGTACATTACATGTTTAAAGGCTCTAGATATAAACTGTCAAACAACCCTCCAGAAAGACCATTACCAATTTATAACGCAAACAGCATTAGATATAACTGCCTATATGAAAAACAATTTAATAACTGAAAAATGCTGTGTTACTATTCTAATTTGCATTTGTTTGAATACTAAGACAACCTGGAAGAAATGGGTAGATTCCTAGAAATACATAAACTACCAAAACTGAAACAGGAAGAAATAGAAAACTTGAACAGACTGATAACCAGCAAAGAAATTGAATTAGTAATCAAAAAACTCCCAACAAACAAAAGTCCAGGGCCAGATGGCTTCATAGGCAAATCTACCAAACATTTACAGAAGAGTTAATACCCATTCTTCTCAAACTATTCCAAAAAACGGAAAAGGAAGGAAAACTCCCAAATTCACTCCACGAGGCCAGCATTACCCTGATACCAAAACCAGATAAAGAATCCACTAAGAAGGGGCGCCTGGGTGGCTCAGTCGTTAAGCATCTGCCTTTGGCTCAGGTCATGATCCCGGGGTCCTGGGATTGAGTCCCGCATTGGGCTCCCTGCTCAGCAGGAAGCCTGCTTCTCCCTCTCCCACTCCTCCTGCTTGTGTTCCCTCTCTTGCTGTCTCTATCAAATAAATAAAATCTTTAAAAAAAAAAAAGAATCCACTAAAAAAAAAGAACTACATGCCAATATATCCTTGATGAACATGGATGCAAAAATTCTCAAAAAAAGATACTAGCAAACTGAATCCAGTGATACATTAAAAGAACCATTCACCACAATCAAGTCGGATTTATTCCTTGCAACCCTCAACCTAATAAAAACCTTTTATGAAAAATCCAGTGAACAACATGCTCAATGGGGAAAAACTGAGAGCTTTTCCTCTCATCTCAGGGATGTCCACACGCACCACTGTTATTTAACATAGTACAGGAAGTCCTAGCCACAGCAATCAGAAAACAAAAATAAATAAAAGGCATCCAAATAGCAAGGAAGAAGTCAAACTTTCACTATTTGTAGATAACATGATACTCTACAGAGAAACCCAAAAGACTCCACCAAAAAACTGCTAGAACTGATACATGAATTCAATAAAGTCACAGGATACAAAACCAACATAAAGATTATGTTAATTTCTATACACCAATAATTTACAACTGCACCAAAAATAATAAGATTTCTGGGAATAAAACCTAATCAAAGAGGTGAAAGACCCATATTCTGAAGATTATAAAACACTGATGAAAGAAATTGAAATTGACACAAAGAAATGGAAAGACATTCCATGTTCATGGATTGGAAAGACAAATATTATTAAAACGTCTGTTCTATCAAATCCCTCTAAGCATTTAACGCAATCCCTATCAAAATACCAACAGCAGTTTTCACACAATTAGAACAAAAAATCCTAAAATTTGTATGGAACCACAAAACCCTGAATAACCAAAGCAACACTGAAAAAGAAAAGCAAAGCTGGGGACACCTGGGTGGCTCAGTCAGTTAAGCGTCTGCCTTCGGCTCAGGTCATGATCCCGGGGGCCTGGGATCGAGTCCCACATCGGGCTCCTTGCTCAGCGGGGAGCCTGCTTCTCCCTCTGCTTGTGCTCTCTCTCTAACAAATAAATAAATAAAATCTTTAAAAAGAAAAGAAAATCTGGAGGCATCACAATTCTGGACTTCAAGTTACAGTACAAAGGTCTAGTGATCAAAACAGTATGGTACTGGCACAAAAACTGACACGTAGGTCAGTGGAACAGAATAGAAAACCCAGAAATGAACCCACAACTATACAGTCAATTAATCTTCAACAAAGCAGGAAAGAATATCCAATGGAAAAAAGACAGTCTCTTCAACAAATGGTGTTAAGAAACTGGACAGTGACCTGCAAAAGAATGAAACTGGACCTCTTTCTTATACAAACACAAAAATCAATTCAAAATGGATTAAAGACCTAAGTGTGAGACCTGAAACCATAAAAATCCTAGAGGAGAACACAGGCAGTAACCTCTT